AAAAAACACTTAGCTAGAAAATACATATAAAAACCACCATTTTTGCATAGCTGTTTTAGGATCTGCAGCTAGCAGTAGTTTGTAGGGTTAGGTTTCCGCTATCTTGTTCCACCAGGATAACGCCGATACAATGAACAACTAAAATGAACATCAATCCTAAAAACAAATCCGCAGCTAAAAGAAAAACAACAAAGAAGAGTTGTCGTAGACAAATTTCTTTTGAAGAATCAACTTCTGAGGAAGATATTGATGAAACTAAACTATGCGATAATGACGAGCTTGACGACGGGATTGATTTATTTTTAAAGGTATCGTTGGTATCGTTATGTCTATTGTGCAAAATGGGCGCATGCAGATTGTAGCGGTTATGATTTCCCTGAAAACTATATTTGTGACTTTTGCCCTACTCATTAATCTTCGATTTGAAAAAGGTTTTTTTGTATCTCAAAGAGTTAACCTGTCTTACTTTGTTATTATCAATTATATACTACGTTTATTTACTCTATGTAACAATAAAACATGTTTGGTAAAATAATTGTCTTATTAATTACTAATGTCGGTATTACCCCAAAGTGGTGTCACAATTACCCCGATGGCTGGGGAAATACCGATACTGTTCTTTAATAACGAAAAGCATTCATGTAACATCTGTCATGTAAATAATTTTAAAACATTACATATTGATTTGATGCAGAAAATTAGGACAAATCTTTAGGTACTTTCACCAAAATCGTAACTATAGAAAAAATTATAAAAATCAAATTGTATTAAGGTGTCGGTATTCCCCTGGTCTACCCTAAGCCTATCGTATTAATAAAATTAAACATGGATAGGAGACCACCTTGTTTTTTTACATTACCTTTACATTCAAAATTAAAATCATTTCGAACAGGATTGTCTGTGAGTATTCAGGTACGCTGACATTTACGTCCTTTAATGGGTTTTCTTGATCCAGCTTTTGGAAATGGCCTAATTTTGTCTAGACTTGCTTGATGAGAGATATTATTAGAAACACTGGATAGTTGACTTCTAGGGTTAGATATAGGTTGAATAGGCAATGACAGACTTGACATCAATGATTGATTGAAGGCTGGGGCATGAACAATAGCAGAAATTGGATCAACAGCACCTGGAAATGGGTTGGCAGTAATAGGTTTTAGACGGTCTGTTACATATGAAGACAAAAACTCATTATCAGAAAATATGTTAGGATTAAAGGGTTCGATTCCTGCCACAGCAAATCCTGCACAAATGTTAGACAAAGTAAAAGCTTGTGCATAGGCTTTCCTTACAACTGAAGCTATATCATATATGTTCATCGGTCTGGGATTAGATACAATCCAATCATCACAGGCTACATTGTAATAACGTTTCAGTGGCCCATAAACTGACTGATCTAATGGCTGCAACTTGTGACTACAATGTGGTGGAAAGAACAGCATAGTTAAGCCATTTTTTTTAGTTAAATCTAAACACACAACTGAAACATGGCTCTCGTGGTCGTCAAGAAGTAAAAGCACTGGATTAGCTGGTGAATATTTCTAATTTTGAATAAAATGTTTCATCCACTCTAAAAATGTTGCAACATTCATCCAACCAGATGGGTTTGCAACCTCAACACATCCAGGTGGACCATCATTTACTTCCTTTGAAATGACCATCATTTACTTCCTTTGAAATGAACTCTTGGAAAAATAAAAAATCGAGGGATTGAGTTTCCTATTGCATTAACTGCACAACAAACTGTTACCAATGTCCCTCTTTCTGCTGAAGTTATCCTTCCAACTTAATTATCTCCTTTTTTAGCTATTACTTTAACTGGTTTTTAAACAGTTGTAAGGCCTGTCTCATTAACATTATATATGTTTTGTGGCTGAAACCTGTGTCAGAGACGAACATCTTTTAGATTAGTGAAAAATTCTACGACTGTATAACAATTAAAATGCAGTTGCTCGTGCCATACTAGTAGCTTCTGGATTTCGTAAAGATAACTCATTCCTACGTAACATAAAACCACGAAGCCACTGTTTCCCAGCAACTTGTAAACTTTTCCATGATTTAGGAATGCGCTTAGAAAGAGTCATTGCAAATTCATAGGCAAGTTTTCGTGTTGTTTTTGTTGATAATCCATAGTGAAGTTTTGAGGCCCTTAAAAGATAATCTGATAAAGATATTTCTTCTTTGTTGGTAAGATTTGCATGGTAATGAAGTTAGGTTTGAAGACTGTATTTGGATTTAATTGATATTTCCTTACTCTTAAGTGTCATTAAATTGATCCCCCTCTCTTTAGATACACAATAAACTGTACCACTATTAAGAATTGCATAAACAGCTGCTCGCATTTCATTCTCATTAACTTTACCTCTAGGTGGTCTATCGGTTTTTCTTTTTTTATGATACACCATATTAAACTGTAAAAAAATAAAACATATTTATATTGTTTTGCTATATTCCTAATTTTTGGATAAATATTTATAAAGAGTTTTACTTACTAAAATCTTCTTTATTAACAGAATGCATAACGCATTAGGATCAAGGGTGCTAACCCGCTCCATTTTTACAAAAATTCTTTTTTTGTCATATTAGATGCTTCCATAGCTTACCAAAAGCAACCATACAAGAGGTGAATAGTTTAGTTACAAAATGACATAAGCATAATTATTCAACTTAAAAAAATAATAAAGATGTGAGATTCCTTGTAAAAGCGAAAAAATTACTTTTTGTCGTCAAAATCAAACTATTTAGAAATAAATTTAATAGTGGTCAATTCTTTAACCAAAACACAATTAATTTTGAAGATACAATATTTATAAGACACTGGTTATCAGCCCTCTTTAATAAGTTATGTGTTTAATAAGTATGGAGATAACGCTGTAGGATATTTAATAAGTATGGAGACAACGCTACAGGATCAAAGGTGCTTACGGATCAAGGGTGCAAGTTCTCCCCTATATGCAGTATTACAAATTAAAATAAAATGTTAAATTAGTCTACTAATATAAATAAATTCAAACGCAGAAGATCACCTGGATTAACATAATTTATTGCTAAAAAATAATGCCACAAAATGAGAAAGTAAGAAAAAATTCTTACATTTCAAATTTATATTGTATAAAAGTTAAACATAATTGGTAAAGCGAAACTGAGTATTATTTAAAGTATATAAGTATATTTTCAATTAAAAAATCTCCTTTTTTTTTAGTTTTCTTTTGATCAAATAATAATTCCATTCATGAGAAAAATCAAAATTTTTTAAAATCATTTGGTTCCATAAAATAACTCTACGAAAAGAAATACAAGATTTACTAAAGTTTGTCTGGAAAACTGGTTGCCTAATAAAATTATAATTTTTTAAAGACTATATATTTTTTTCTTTTAAAGAATATAATTTTTTGTTTGTTTGTTATATTTTTAGGTGTCCAAAGAATTTTTCTTGCCAAGAGGTGGGGTTTGATGCACGGATCCTTTGTTTATGAGGTAAATGCGCTTCCACTGCGCCACGGCTGCTCAAAGAAAATCAAGAAAAGAAGCTGAAGATAAGTTTATATTAGGTTTACATTTAAGCATAAAACAAAGAATATTAAAAACATTTTAAGAATATTTATGCTAGATAAGAGAGGTTTTGAGTAAGACGATTTTTAAAACTTGTGAGACGTGCAATATGCTTCTGTTGACAATTTTAGTTCATTCTTCAGTTTATTTTTATGGGTAATAGCCCAAGCAATAATTAATATGACAGTGTATAAAAGAGTAATATAGTTAAGTTACTAAATGTTTAATTTAAAACGCTTCCTGCTTTATATAAAACTCTAATCATTATTTTTGCAATCTTGCTGCTTGAGTTTTTATGTGAATCTTCCACGATTTTTATCTATAATAATTCCTAGAAACATTTTGCACTATTTTAATGTTATCAATACAAAGAAGATGCATATCACTTTGGGTATTTTTCTTAGAAATTGGATGAAAGAGTGTCCATTTAGTTTAATTATTATTGAGTGAAAGTTTATTAGATTTTAACCAGTCAGAGATTTTTGATAGCTCAACGTTTATATCATAAAAAAGCTTATCGATGTTATCATTAGATAGGAATAAGTTTGTATCAAAAGCAAACTTTAGTGTTGTTAATTTTGAGATCTTTAACATAAATTAGAAATAATAAGGGTCCTAGTATAGATCCTTGTGGAACTCCACAGGTTATATTTAAAAGATCATGTGAAAAAGATTCTTCTACGCGGACAAACTGTTTGCGATGTTTTAAAATTCTTTCTTTTATTTTCAAAAAATTCTCTGAATTTTTTTGAAAAAAAAGAGAGGACAGATAATTGCTGACATTTGAAGGTTCACCACCTTTAAATATAGGCGTGTAATATTAGCTCTATTGATCAGGGAAAATGCCTTGATTTGTTGAACATTTAAAAATTTTATAAAGAATATATTTTATAGTATCGTATGAATCTTTAACTATATTATAATTTATATCATTAGTACTTTTTGTTTTGTTAGTCTTAAGCATTTTAAAAGCACTTTCGAATTCTATAAAAGATACTTCAAATCAGTTAATGTCGGAACGCATACTTGGAATACTTTGCTCGATGTATCAAAGATTATTAATTTTTATTGATACTGAAAATAAATCTTTAGTCAATCAAAATTAGGAGTATTTCAGTGCAATTAAACTAAAAAAACTCCCTCCCGTTGAATGTAAATGATTTTCACCTCTTCATCTTCCCTATGGATTTTCTCAAAAATTTGAGAAACACTGCGTAAAACGATTTGAGTTGGCAAAAAAATATTTTTGTTTATAAAATGACAGATTTCTGACATTTCATAAGCAATGAATAATTTCATAAAAATAAACAAATATAATCGCTTTGCAAATTGCAAAAAAGATGGACTATTGGTTGAGTATACCGATAGTTGAACCATAAGATAATAATTTATAAACGGTTTACCCACAACGTACAAAAAATCTATAACAAAATAAACAAAGAAACTAATAAAATCAAAAAATATATTTTTGCAATAATTAATTCAAAATTCAACACTTTAATTGTCATTTTTTTTCTTGGATTCTTTACTTTTATATCTTGATATAACCAAGGGTAAAACTGCTGCAAATAACAAGGTACATGCTAGCAAAGGACGATAGCTAAGCCATCCTATTGCTATGGTAACTAAAGCCATAGAGGTAGCAAATGTAAAAGCCAATACAGAAGTTGCTAGTCCAACAATGTCACGAATAATTGGAAGAAATGAAACTAAAATAGTAGTTGCCATAGAGAAATTTTTATTAATTAACTTATTAATGGAGAAACTTAGTATTAGAGAAATAATTTATTATTACATAATTATCTTATTAATAGATAATTAAAATATTTTTAGAAAATTAACTTTATATTAGATAATTAACTTTATATTAGATAATTAACTTTATTAGATAATTAACTTTATTAGATAATTAACTTTATTAGATAATTAACTTTATTATTAGATAATTAAATTATTAGAGAATTAACCTATAATTTAAGAATTAACTTATCATTAGATAATTAACTATTAAAAACGTGCATGGTCATAAATTTTAAAGCATCATAGATTACGCATTAACAGTTTTATAACAAACACTTACATAAAAGAAAAAAAAAAGGTACCTATCTGCCTAAAAATATCCATCATAATTTGCAAGGCAATAAACATCATAAGCCACCCAACAAATCTCATTAACCACGTAAGAAAAGTATTTGCTGACTGTTCGCTATCGAATATTTCCTTTTAAATTTCAACATTTAGAATACAATAAAAATACTAATAACAATAATAGTAATAATAATAACAAAAATAATAATAATAATAATAAAAACAAAAACAACAATAATAATGATAATAACATTAATAATAAAAATAAGTATATTAACAAAACGATTTCTTGAAACGATTTCTTATGAGGGGGGGGGGGGGGGGGTTTCCAAAATTCTATATTTCTTGTTTAACCAGTTATTCTTAATTAATTTTTTAAGAAAAGTTCAAAAAACAATTCAGTTTTTGCTAACTTTTTATGGTTGACCTTCTACTTCTATTTTAAAAATATAAAGATATAAAAATAAGTCTTTGCAAAAGTTTTTTCTTTCAAATTTATGCTATTCAAATTTTGATTGGATAAATTTGATTTTTAATCGTTGCGTTTTAGAAAAAAAAAGAGTTTAATTTGAAGTCTTTTTCTAAAAAAACGTTTTAAATAAGTAAAACAACAGATTGTTTCAAAAAAAAAAAAGTTTTATCAGAAGTCTCTTTCTAAACAAAACGTTTTAAGTAATCAAAAAGAAAGATTGCTTTAAAATATCTTAATTTCCTTTTTTTTATTTATTTTTAATCGTTATTCAAGCTATCAAGAAGGCTATTTAAGATTTCATTTTTTTTTCCACTTTTCTTTAATGAAGTCAAGAATAAATCTTCTTTCAAAGTTCCAGTCAGTAGAAGTTCAGTTTAATTCTAAAGGTTTAACAAATCTAGAGATAAACAGGCTAAAGGAATACCGCTACCTTAAAGGCTTTATAAAAAACAAACCGGGTGATCAAATTTTGAAATTTTCTGCTTTACTCTAAAACGCAGTGAATAGCTAGTTAAAAAAACTCTAGAAGCAGTTAATAAGTATACCTCAAAGAGGTTGAATGATTGTATCATTCTTGCTAGAGTATTTTGGCAAAAGTTAGCCTCAGGACTTCAAAAAAGAGAAAAGTATTATGTGTTTGGTTGATGATGGAATATGATTAGTATTATCTTTCTAATAAAGTTGTTGCAGTTGGAAAGCTTTGGAAAAAACCCATTTAATTTCAACCGTAGGTGTATACTTAATAATTTAAACCATAAAAAAAAATGAAGGTTCCCGCAGTTTAAAAATATTTTGGAAAATTATTGTCCAATTATTTGTCCAAAAAGTTGAAACTATAGAATATAGTTGAAACCAGCTACAAAAACAAATGGATAACGATGGAAGAGCAGCAAACTTTGCATCAGGTGTGCAAGATGAGTTCTATTTTAGTTTGATTAAAGTTACAAGGCAGCCAATTTAGCTGTGAATTAGACATTATTGAAGTAGATAAAGATATGTTAAAATGAAAAAAAAGTTCGAAAAATGAGGTTCTTTATTTTAGGGATACAATGTAGGTAATTCTCGCGGAGGTCTATTCTGTTTAAATACACGATTGTTGATATAAAAATACAAATCTCCATTTTATGTCTACCAAAGAACACGCTCATAACCTAAATGTTCTACATGGAAAGTTTCCGCAGCAATTTCTATCGCATATGATGACTTTTATAGTTATTTTCCATTTTCAATAGTAAATAACAAACTGTATGAATTATTTTCATATATAATGCTTAATTTTTTTTGTTACTTATAAATCATAAGGTATATTTATTGATAAATTAATTTTTTTGTCACTTATAAATCATAAGGTATATTATTGATAAATTAAACAGAAAAAGATTTATACTTTTCTACTTTTCTTATTTTTAATGATAATAATAATTTCATCTATTTTTAACAATGCCTTTTTTTGTCAATATATTCATTTTTATTAAAATCGAAGTAGAAACTAAAATGAAAATAGCAACAAGAACAAAACAACACCAAAAAATATTTTTAAAAATTAAATATCCATGTAGTATAAAATGGGATCAAGTAAACACGTTAAAAGTAGAACCCAAAAAATTTGAAAAGTTCGAGAGGCAATCGAAATTCAGTTGAACAAATGCGGACCTAAGAACGGAGGTATGAATTTAGATGATGTTCAATATGTAAAAACGCAATTCTGGACGCCATATTTTTTACACCTACGTAATATTAAAGAAGCCCAATTAAAGCGAACTTTAAAGAAGCCATTAAAAAGTGACGTTACCGCTTGTTTGTAATTGAATTTAATTAATAATTTGTAATTAAAGCTGAAGATGCTAGTATCAATTATCTAGCGAAAATTTCTTAGATTAAAAATTAGTATTGAGAGAATTCGTATTTATTGATGTTCATATATTAAATATATATATATATATATATATATATATATATATTATATATATATATATATATATATATATATATATATATATATATATATATATATATATATATATATAGGGGAGAGTCGGGTAACCCCGGACACTTAAGGAAAATATAGATTGTGCACACGTGTTAACAGAAATTAAAAACAAAAAAATTATTATTGAATTAGAAACAAAAAAATAATTATTGTGTATCTTAAAATGAGTTACTGTTATAGGCTTGTGTATTATATTAAATGTATTAATATTTATATAAAAGTTGTTTATTATTAATATGTAAACCAATTAGGTTGTCCGGAGCCACTCTCCAAACATGTGTCCGATACTACCCGATCATACCTCATTCACAAATACTAGTTTTAAAACCAGTAAATTAAACTTTTTAACAAACTTTTTTTTTTTAATAACTATTGTCAATAAAAATATATCTTGAATCATTAATAAGTTATTAGTTTACATAAAAATTAGGTATATTAATATGTGAATCAAATATGATGATACGTCGCTCTTCTGGTGGTGGGGAACAAAATCTTGCCCTACCAGTCATTCGCTTCAACATTTTATGATAGATATTTTGCATATGCCATATTTTCATTCAAATAATGTTATTCTAGTATTAAAAGTCAAATAGCTTCTTTAGTTTAAGCTGTACATCAAGTGTCCGGAGTTATATATATATATATATATATATATATATATATATATATATATATATATATATATATATATATATATATATATATATATATATATATATATATATATATATATATATATATATATATATATATATATATAAATATATAAAAGATTCATGAAGTAGTTTTGAAAGATATATATATATATATATATATATATATATATATATATATATATATATATATATATATAAAAGATTCATGAAGTAGTTTTTGAAAGATCGATGGATAAAACTTATTAGTATCAAATCGGATAAAAATACTTTTTTTTACCATGAATATCACTGTTATTGATTTATGTATGTATGTATGTTAGGGTATGTCATACTTTCAAAAAATTTTAAATTAAAAAAAAAAAACAATTTTTATTATGTAGTAGGTATTTTTAAGCAACATTGAAATAAAACTTTAATAAAAACTTGGATTTTAGATTTGGAACAACATCTCTCTAATCTTGCTCTAATAAAACCATCACATCTCTGAAAGCCATACAAAAGCAGCTGCTGCTTCAGTCACTTGTTTAATAAGTGACTGAAGCAGCAGTACCTTACTATCCTCTCTACAAAGTGAAGAGGATAGTAAGGTACTTCCATAGGAGAATCTATTACTTTTTGTAAATCTTTTTTTGTCATATTACTTGTAAAATTTTCTCCAAGATTTGTTCGTTACTCCAATCAATGAGTTCAAGGAGAGTCATACCATCAAAGTTAAGTATAGGTTTTTGTCAGTTTCTTACACTTACATCACCTTGCTCTGAATCTCCTCTAACTTTCATAATCATCTTGACTGCAAAAGCTCTATTTCCATTTGATAAGCTTACTATAAGAGAAATAAGAAAAGACACAAAAAAAGCATGAAATGCCCCATTTTGAACAAACTTACTAACCGCATCCATAACTTCGACTGTTTGACCTCTTAATAGATAGAGAAGTTTAATTAGATGATGTGACCCATTAACAATAGAGTGCTTTACCTTGATTCTAAGCCACATATAAAAGTATACTTGAGCCACGAACTGAGAAAGAACTTTTAGATTTTTAAAAATATCTCCTTCCAAGTCATGTTCACTAATGTATAGCCAAATAGTTACCTGACCAGTTGTGAGCCACCTGCTACGGCAAAGATTACCATATTTTCTGTTGATAAGTGAAGCATTCAAGATACCTGATTTAGCTTAGTGAAGCGTCAGTTGACATTTGATTGAATTTTAATCAAAGGTTCTAATTAGTTCAAAAATTTCTAGTTGTTTTAATTAATTTAATTTTGATAATAGTTTGCCTATAGGCCCTTTAAATCCTTGGAGCTTGTAGGTCCATCAAGATTTGCAATAAGGTGTCTTAAAGGTAGCTCATTAGTATCTAACATGCAAATTGACCGAAAATATTTTCTTTCAATAAGTTTCTCCAGGTGAATTAATAATCCGCTGTTGTTACCAGATCCAGTCATTGAATTTGTAGAATCTTATCCAATCACAATTATAGTTTGATCAATTCCTCTAGGAACCATCCAGCTATGAAGACCGACTCCACCTTCTTTAGCTGGTTCGTTTAGATCCTTTAAAGGTGTGTAATGGGTCAAATAGCTTCCATCTGGTTCAGAAGTAACACTTATGTTTTCTTGCTTTTCTGTTCTTTGGCAAAACATTTTAGTAATTGAATCTTTAATCAAAATTAGAGTTTGTCGAATCTTTTCATTTACAAATATGGCTTTAAGAAGAGCTTCAATAATTAGTTTTTCAGCCAAAACTCTAGTTTTAGTCATAACCTCTTGTCTCTCCAATCACATGCTCTCCAATCACATGCTCTCCAATCACATGCTGAACTAGCCATATTTGGAGTCAAGTAATTTGATTTGATCAAATATTGAAGGAAAGCAGATACAACTGCAGATGTAGCTGCAGGAGATAATATTAATTGTAATAAATGGGGAAGTTTTTTGTTTGATATTATTGGAGTGTCTTCTGGAGATATTTCATTTACATCTTTAATTTTTTCAGGTGAAGTTTCTGGA